TAAAATAGGTTATCTTAATAAAATTTTAAGTAATTTTACTTTATTTAATTGTCCAAGATTGTCCAAGATTGTCCAAAATATTGTCCAAAGCTGTCCTATAACAATACTGGATTAGGCTATGTCTATTCATATTCCTGTTTAGAGTATTGAAGTAAATTTATAACTAACAATAAGTAATTTATACTCATTTAATAGCTATGACTTTAGTTTCCACTATAGAGATGCCTTACTATTGTTTTTTAATGAAGCTTTGCCTCAAGCCAAATCTGAATTAGCATTTATTAAATGCCTTCGTTTTTTCGATTAATGCCATTCCAATACCTACACTCAAACAGTCAATAAGGCATACCATTTATATGTTATTTCGAAATATTTTAAGAATATATAGATTATGAGAAAGGTTAAGATCAAGATTTCAAAAGATTCCAAAATGTTCTGAAAAGAAATATATATAGTACATGATAACTGACTAATCTAAATTAAGTATACCTATTATATGATATAATGGCATGCCAGGGTGGCATCTTGGCTTGCCTTTTAGCAATAGCATGCCATTTGGCATGCCAAATTTTTTTTGCCATGCCATTTTCCCTACTTATCAGTCCCAATATCTGTCATTGCGGGTATGATCTTAACAATTAGCTGGCCTTAATATCAGATAAATTGGTCAGAAAAGTCACATTTAGCTTGTGCTCTTCGAAAGGCAATAAAGCAATATCAGAAAAGATTGTTAGCAAGTGAAGATGTAGTAAGATAATAAGTGCAAACAGGTGAATGTAGAGTAAAAGAGTTGGAGTTAAAAAGAATAAGTAATAGAAAAGATAGTCAATCGATAGTTAGCAATAGATTGGGTAGTTGTTTACTATAATTAAATATGTAACCACATTAAATATTTAAAGGTCACGATTTTGTCCCCAACTAGTTTTCTTAGACTTCGATTTTCCCTAAACATTTATATATATATATATCTCCCTTTAGTAGATAGATTCAAATTCTCATTGTATTATAACTATCATTATATAGTTATTCTTAATAAAATACTTGTGTCTTCATACACAAAACCCCTGTTTGAGTCAGTTCGTTAAGAATCTTAATTATCATGTTTACATGAGACTTATGAATGATTATTTGTTGTGTTGTTTTCAACCCTTCATATCTTCATATACAATCGTGCTGTTGCCTCTTTCGATAAAGCCTTGATAAATCCTCTTTGATAAGTCTTGTAATAGACACTACTTTAACCTGCCAAATTTCCAAAGCTTATCTTCATACTACGGATTCGTTGGTTCTTTGAATTGTAGTAAGAGGTCAATTTCAGGTGTGACAATGTGATAAAAAAATTGTTGCAGATTGTAGATAATACCCACCTTTTACATCTTTGGTCAAATTTTTAACTTGGATTAATGTGTACGAAATTCGATCTTCACTAGGTTCTTCATTAAGAGACTATATATCTAGATACTGTATAATAATATCTACTCCTTTCTGATTTCATTTACATGAAAATGCAACCTCATGAATTAGAGCATCCAAAAGATCTTTTCTATTTGGTGTATACATAATACTGATAATGTGTGTAAACTTAATATATGCTTTGCCAAATTCCGCACCTGTAAATGATACCTATTTTTGAAGGTGAGATGATATTTTCTTGTATGTATTGTCCACTAGCAACGATTTTAAAAAATCACTTAAAGTCATAAAACGAGAATATGAATTCTAGTGGAGGGTGTATTTAATTTCTTATAAATGTCATCCCACACTTTAAGCAATAATAATCTAGCAATGAGCTTTCCATGATATTCGCCTTCTACTCCACCATTTTAAAGCGACGAGATTAGTGCGTTAATAATTTCTATAAGATTAATGTCTGAATCATTCATTATTTGAGCAGATGCTCCTGCTAGTACAGGTTAGTAAACATCGTTGTAATGATGTTTTTTTTTTTTTATGATCATTTGAGATATTAATGCAGAAACGCACAAAATTTGACATCAAAGAAGATGCATATTCTGACTGTGGTACTATATCTATATTTAAACGGGGTCCTAAAATAGCCAATGCTTCCACAATGCTGATACAATCTTTATCCTTTTTCCAACAAGTAAAAGTCGTTCCACCGACAAGCTTATCCATGGCTAAATTAATAATACTACATGGGTCGAATCCTTTAATATCATCAAGCAAAGGCGACATTGGTGAACTCCACAAAGGCCTCCTATATATAAAGAAACATTGTGGATATTCAGAATCTTTCAATGTTGTATTTTTTCCGTACGTATGTCAGGGCTAAAACGACATATAGTAAATGCTGGCCATCCAAAAATGTCGTTTTTGATCTATCTAAATAAAAGTAACATCAACAAAAACAATCTTTACAGAAACTTTGATTTTTGCTAAATATGTATGCTTTATAATTATTATATAATAAAAATATTTTTTAGTCTGTTAAATTACTATTAATTTGCTTGTTATCATATTACTAAAATATAAGCTTTGCTAAGATATTGGTAATATATTGGTAATATTATTTAATTATTTTAAACAGATTGTTATTATATTATTAAAATATTATTTTATTATATTACTATTAGATAATAAAAAGATATTTCTAATATTAAACCCATATTGTAATTATATTATAAATATATAATATACAAAATATGATAATAATATTTTTAACATATGTTTAACATATATTTATCGTATAATAATATTAGTAATATTGTAATTATAATGTAATTATAATATAATTACAATATTACTAATATTGCTATAATATTATTATAGCAATATTGTAGCAATATTGTAAACATATTTAGCAAAAATCAAAGTTTCTGCAAAGATAGCATTAAATAGCTAATAGAATTTTCTTATTATACTATTGTTCTTTGATCGCAATAATTATGCGTCAAGAACAACACTTTGGATGGCCGGCATTTACTATATGTCGGGTTAACGTACGTACGTAATGTATGTCGTAATGTATGTACATAGCATAGCAGATAGGGCCTTTTCAGCGGTGCTTGTATTACGTACTTTTTTTGTGTATAAATATTCAAAAATAAGTGCTATAGTACTTTGTGCTTTGCCTCTGCTTCGAATATATGTAACCAGAATTATGAATTTCATTGTTCAAACAATGAAAAGTCTTTAAAATAGCATAAGTTTGGGCACTCTAATCTATAAAGATGATATAGCAAATATGTTTATACCACAAGGAAGCGCAGCATAAAAATAATTCAAAAACAGTTAAATATTCTTATAACCTGGCAGATTAATTTTATTCCGTGAATATACAGTATAAAAAATGATTAATAAATTTCTTATGGGTAAAATTATATGATACGTATACGTACTGTATATGTAGTTTCTAAATTTAGAATATTTAAATCTTTGGTATACGTATATATATATATGTAATAGTTATACGTACGTATACGCATACATGTAAAAAGAATATTAATTATATATATATGTACAATAAGATCTGATATTGATAAAAATCCTAAAATTTACAAAATTTGTTCATACAATATCATCTCTTGTCTCATCATTAAAATTATTTTCCGTAACAATACTTTCAAAACTCTTATTTACAACATTTCTTTCATTAATACTATTATCACTTCTATTCTCTACATAGGCAACAAATTCACCACTAACACCACTACTAGTAAAATTTGTAAAATCATTATCTATTACATCAGCTGTTTCTACATCTTCATTATTATTAACAACATGTGATGGATGAGACAAACCAATTTTAATATAATTTATTATTCCTATAATACTTATAAGAATTGAAATTCCAGACAGAGACCACATGCATGACAAGTTTGTTAATCGGATGTAACAAAAGGTGAGAAGGGTTGAAGGTTGATAATTATAGGAAGATGGACATGATAATTCCGGAATTAAAGATGATTCGTGAAATGTAAAGTACGCATAGGTGACTTTGTTAGTGAAATGAAATATTAATATATTAAAATATTAGAAATATATAGAATAATAAAACTTATAGTATGAAATAATAATAATTTACTTACTAGAAATACCGATC